ATCAAGGTGCTGAAACGGAAATAAAAGAAAATTATGCACAGTTTGGACAAGGGGCTGGAACTGTGATGCAGCTAGTTGAGAGAATTGAAGAAACTCATCACGGTTTGTACTTTGATAATTTCTTTAGTTCTTACCACCTCTTTCAATGGTTGAACAATAAATCTATTATGGCTGTCGGAACAATTAGAATAAACCGATTTTTTGGACCAGAACTAACATCTGATAAAGATCTAAAAAAAAAATGGTAGGGGTAGTTTTGATGTAGCGGTTAGTGAAGATGGAGTTGTGATTACAAAATGGTTCGACAACAAAACCAGATTTAGTGGCTTCAAATTTTGTTGCAGCGGGAAAAATGGATTTGGGCCAGAGATGGGATAAGACGTCGAAAGAGTATATAAATGTATCTAGACCGGAAGCCATATCGCTTTACAATTCCAACATGGGTGGTGTTGATAAGTTAGATTTTTTATTGAGCGTTTACAGATCCTACAGACGATCCAGAAAATGGGCTGTACGTATGATAACACATGCTATAGATATGGCGATAGTAAATTCCTGGTTGGAATATAGAAAACAAGCTGAACTGCTAGGCGTACAACACAATAAAATCCTGGATTTGTGGGACTTTAGAATGAGTATTGGGCAACACCTCATTTTACATAAGGTTCCACCAAAGAGAGGCAGACCATCTGGTCAAGAAAATACTGGTACACCAAATAATAAAAAAACCAAAACTTAAGCAAGGCCATACATTGAATTACGGTTCGACAGCTATGGACATTTTCCGAAAATAGATGAAAAAAAAAAGATAGTACACGTTGCAAAATGGAGAACTGTAAGGAAAAATCACATACTTTTTGCGTGAAATATAATGTTCACTTATGTTTTGTAAGCGTAACTGTTTTTTTAAATTTCATGTAAAATGAATAATTCGTTATTTACAAAGAATATTGTTTATTTCGTCATTCTAATGATATTCAAATAAATTTCTAAAATCTTCAGGTTTATTTTATTTTGCTTCAAGTCATAATGTCCATCAACATGGACATGTCATATGCCAAGTGACATATGACATATCAAAAAAAAAAATGATGTTAAAATTATCAACAAAAATAGTTTGTTTTATATACCAAATATGAGAATTTTCCCATAGCTCAAAAAAAGTTGTGACTGAAAGGGTTAATAAGTAACACCCAATATACACAGATAATTACGATAATAGTCAAGTATTAAGTGCAAATCTTCACGAGGAAAAGGCTAATTCCGGTTGAATAGTCACAAACATTTTTAAAGACATATGTACACAACGTTGTACACGACGCTTATGAATGGACTCGAATCAGCTAAGTACTGAAAATATGGTACCTACTTATCACAAGTATGGTACTGATCATATGTCAGCTGTGCTGAAGAGCGGGTACGAGAATAATGAAACCTGAATAAGAATTAAAAACCTTAAGTCCAACCCATTTAAGTCAGTAAGGGAGTCCTTCAAGGATGTATTCTATCAAAAAGTCTATTCAACTTCTATGGGGAATATATAATGAGAACAGCACTTGACAAATGGAAGGGGGGTATCTCTATCACAGGCAAAAATATCTCAAACCTTATATGTGCATACGATACAACTCTAATAACTGCACCCGAAGAAGAAATGTCAAGCATGCTACAACTAGTGGAAACCAAAAGCAATATATTTGGTATCAAAAACAAAAAATATATATTAATAGTCGATTATTCAAACTCACTGCAAACAGCTGGAGACTTAGACCAGTTTGAAATGGTTAACGAGTTGAATTATCTAGGATCCTACATTGGTAATGCAGGCTCTTGTGAAAGCGAACTACGTAGGAGAATAGGAATGGACAGAAATGACACGAATCCATTATCAAAACTATGTAATATCGTTTTTTGTCGAAGAATACCAAAATGAGATACGTACCTTCATTTTTCTATATTCAGTTACTAGTCCGAAACATAGACAATAAAATGGGACGATAGGAAAAGAATTGGCGCCTTTATGTGGTGCTGGAGGTGAATGTTTCGGATCTTATAGACAGAACACATAACAAACCACTCAATTCCCCAAGAGCTTAACAATTATATTAAACCCTCCTCTTTTTTTGTCGTAGGCATCTTAAACTTTTTCGGATATATTGCAAGAAGAAGTAATAATAATCTTGAGAGACTTATAATGTAGGGAAACGCTGAAGGTCGCATAGACAGAGGTAGCTCACAAACTTTATGCACAGGACGCCACTGACAGGACATCCTATGAGTCCATGAGAGCTGCCAGGATAGACGCCGATGGACAAAGGTAATCGCTCGTATGGTACCCAACCACAACACTCAGAAATGAGGAACCGACTAGAGAAATCAAAGAAAAAAATGATTGTGACGTCTTGGTGGTTACAACGGTCTGGTAAAATGAAGTGGTTGTACTTGCTAAGATGGTTACAAAGACCGACGATAATATCAAAAAACCCTTGTGTTATTGATAATAATCGAAAAATGGGAGCAATTGGTCGTTTGCAAGATGGTTAGGAGCATAAACTACATGAGAAAATCTGTAAAATCAAAATAACAAGAAGTTACTTTTTCACAGATTGTATATCTGTGTGTTAAATGCCATTGCTGGTTTAAAAAAAATAATGGAATCTCCTCATTGTACATTTCCAACTGCAGGTAATTACCTGATTATTTGATAGCACATCGATAAGTTGTAATACCAAAAGGCTTGCCTTCCAAACTTACTGAAAGGCACTTTCCTCTTACAGTACCGAAAAAAAAAATGGGAAGCATATCACCCGAGCAGATAGCAAGAGTCTATTGAGGGTGGCATGCGCATATAGAATAGTCTCTGCCGAGGTGCTGGGAATTATCACCAAGTGTATTCCGATGCACATACTAGTGAAGGAAAGAGGAAGAATAAACAAGAGAAGAAATGAAGAATAGCAACAGAACGTTTAAATAAAATAAGAAAAGGAGAGGTCCTTAATGGTGTGGCAAGAGGAATGAGACGAGATGAGGGTGGCGCAGTGGACGAAGCCGCTTATTCCTAATTTGAGAAGATGGATGGACTGCGGGCACTGGCGTTTGGATTACTTCCTGATGCAGATGCTCACAGGACATGGTTACTTCAGGGCATTCCTTTACAGATCTAGAAAGGCAGAAAATGACAAATGCCTGTACTGTGAAATATCTGACACTGTCTCACACACTCTATTGGTATTGGATAGATGAGAGAAGGCTGCTTGAGAAAGAGCTATGAATTAGGGTGCAATCAGCCACGGAAATAATGGAGGAGATGCTTAGATCGTCAGATCGGTGGAGAGCCGTTCAGAGATATGTGAGGAGAACGTTGGAGAGAAAGGAACAAGAAGAAAGGCGACCCGAAGGGAGGCAGAGTGTCCAGCAGTAAGCAAGAAGATAAGGCAGAATGAAAAGAGGCGAGATTGAACATGAACAGGGAGGAACAGAGGGAGAGAAGAATTCAGTCGTAGTTAGAAAGTGCTAGAATGGGTGAGAATTATGCGTGAATGAGAGATCGGGTGAATGCCGTGCGGATGTTGCGTCCCAATCAGAGCGATCCGGCTGGTAATTCACCGCCGAGGAGAGTGTTTTTTAGCAGGTAGGTCTCTGGCATTGACGGCGATGATGTCCAAGGCGGTTCTGTCCACCTTCGAGGACCGAGGTATGTTTCGAATATTTGGACCCCGCCCCCTCCCCTCATAAAGGACGAAAAAAAAACAATATATATTTTGTATGTTCTAACAAAAAATTTAAAAAAACACGAAGACATACCAAATATCATTGGGTTAAATTTAATATAGGATTATGCGGTTTTCTGTGATTTAAAGTGTATCACACATTGACTAAATTTTATATAGTTTTTGGAAGTGTAGCTTATTTCACAGAGGCATGAAAAAAATAAAAACGACTGAATCTGTCGACCAAATTAAATTAGAATAAAATTGAATAAAATACAAAAACAAAGTAAAATAAAATGAAATTAAATAAAATAGAATATAATAAAATAAACCAAAATCAATTTTATTGCATAAAACAATTTTATTTCATGGATATAAGGTTGAATGCTCGAATAAATGAACTTTGATAATATACAAGGCAAATATCGAGCACGGTATTAATTAAATCTTGCCCAAGTACTTTCGATCACTAGATCATCTTCAGGGGCATTTCGTCAATTGCAGCCTATCTGACAAGAGTGGAATGTCATAAATTTAAAATGGTACATAACAATACACTACACAAAGACAAACAAAAACTTTAAAAATTTTGAGGAAAGGTGAAGCTACATGGTATATATCATTCTGTCTCCGGCTTCTATATACCATGTAGCTTCACCTTTCCTTAAAAATTTTAAAGTATTTATTCGTCTTTGTTTAGTGTATTGTTATGTACCATTTTATATTTATGACATTCCACTCTTGTCGTTCTGTCTCCGGCTTCTATATACCATGTAGGTATATAGTTCGGATAGGCTGCAATTGACGAAATGCCCCTGAAGATGATCTAGTGATCTAAAGTACTTGGGCAAGATTTAATTAATACCGTGCTCGATATTTGCCTTGTATATTATCAAAATTTTATTTCAATTTAATTTTTTTCAACAAAACCAAAAAAAATTATTTAAGTTTCTTCTTTTAAACTTTTATACTTATACTTCGTTGTAGTTTTCTTAGCTGCCGACTATACCAGTATGGCATTAAAAAAATGCATGTTCGGAAGATTCAGGGTAATAAACGAACAGCCTTCCGAAAGGGTTAAACACATATAATTTGTTGAAAATATCTTCACATGCTAAACGGCTTCAGTATTTTTACTTTTCATGCGTTTAAGCGGTCAATTATAGTTTTTCTGCCTACAATCATTGAAAATAATAATACACTGCAACACAATCATACAACAAAAATTTCTTAAAAATATGTTACTTACTTTGTTATTAACACTTATTATTTGGTTTCAGGTGAAGAAGTATGGAGTGTGGCGTTCAAAGTGCAATGCTGAGTGTACCTCCTGTCGGTGAAAGTGGAGTACAGCAGTCGCTGCCTGCCGTCTACTCGCCTACTGATGCAGATCAAGCACAATTCGAGGCCGACAAAAGGGCCGTCTATAAGTAAGTTTTTCATGGAAAAGCCACCTCAATATAGTGTTTATGCACTAGCGAGGCAGGTGCTAGGTTTGTCTTGCGAAACATGCTGAACTAATAGGCTATTGATTGTGTACTTTAGAAAGGAACTACAACGTTAAAGGGGTTTCATTCTTTTATATGAGCAATGTTCCTAGTTCCTTTTAGCCCTCTTGTTTTGGACATATTCAATATAGCCTATAAGGAAAAAAGGATAATATACTTCGTCTATTGTATCACTCAAGCATTTAGATATGTATATGCTTTCTTGCTACGTGTTTTAAATATTCGTTAAAGGTTATCAGTTGTATACCTTCTTTCAAAGACAAATAAAATAGGAACAGATAAAAAAGAGAAAAGATTCATAGTAGTTACTATTAATCTTAATTTATAGTAACTAATAATTAACCACCAGAAGATCGAAAGAGTCGAGAATTATGTATATCTCGGCACCAATTTAAACAGCACTCAACACAAATTAAACAGCGAATCATCATCATTCTCTTTGTGTTTATCCTGATTCGGAGTTAGCGTCCTTAATTATTTTGTTGTGTAAGATCTTGGTCATACCAATATCAGTACTCTTTACCGACATGTCAGGCCCAAGCGTCTCCCCTAGGTCTTCTTTGGCTTTCCTCTCCTACTCCTCCCAGGTACTTGCAAATCAGCAATTATTCGTATCGTGTGATTATCGTCTTGACGTTGAACATGTCAGAACTATCGTAACTTATGCTTTTTCATTTTGGTGTCAATTGGTGCTACCCCTAAACTTCCCCTAATATACTCATTCTTAATGTTATCCGTTTTTGTTACACCACTTATCGAAAATAGCACTCTTATTTCCACTACACGCATTCATTGTTCCTTTTTCTTTCTAATTGCCCAACCTACACCATAGCTGGTCTTACGGCAGTTTTATAGAATTTTCGTTTCATTTTCATTGCAGACTCTTTCTGTTATCAACACAGCACTCGCTTCCTTCCGCCCCGTCCTTCCCACTCTACGGGGTGAGTGGGGAGGAACGCATCAAACTTTAAGACTATATAATATACGTAAAAATAAGTAAAAATAACTCATATGTTGTTATTCGATTTTAATTTGTTTTCGAGTTATAGCGATAATAACACAAAGTTGTAACTTAACATTAATTTAATGTTAAATGTTCTTATAATAAATTTTCAAAAATACCACCATTGACCTGTAAGCATTTTCTGCTTCGTCTATGAACATTCAACGTTGCTCTTCTGATTGCGTCATGGTTTGCTCTAATTGTGGCTGCAGCATTTTTAATGCGTCGAATTAGTGCATCGCGAGTGTCGACTTTTACCTTGTAAACTTCATTTTTAAACCAGCCCCATAAAAAATAGTCTAATGGTGTTAGGTCTGGAGACCTCGGAGGCCAACTAATAGGACCATTGCGACCAATCCAACGCCTTGGAAATTTTGTATTTAAATGTTGCCCGACCTGACGAGCAAAATGTGCAGGAGCTCCATCGTGCTGATAATACATTTGCATTCTGATATTTAGTGGAATGTTTTGTAGAAGTCCTGGCAATTCATTCTGTAAAAAATTCAAGTACTCCTCTCCTGTAAGGCGGTTCTCAAATATGAAAGGGCCAATTAAATAACCGTCGATCACACCACACCACACGTTTACCGAAAATTTGTGCTGAAAACTAGCTTCAATTGTTGCATGTGGATTTTCATCTGACCATACATGTGAGTTGCGGCTATTATTAATACCGTCTCTGATGAATGTTGCTTCATCGGTAAAAAGTATGCGGGATATAACACGACGATTATTATTTATCCATCGACAAAATTGCATACGGCTGGCATAATCTTCTGGTTGTAGGTGCTGTACACGTTGTAGGTGGTATGGATATAAACCTTGCTCGTTAAGTGTGTTAATTACTCTCGTTTGAGGAATGGCTAAATGAGTACTGATTCTTCGTGAGCTGATCCCTGGATCATCTTCTACTGAATCCAGAATATTTTGTATTTCTTGTAAACTTTGTCGGGGAGCACGTTCCGATATTATTTTATAACTAGGAAGCGTTCCGGTCTCGCATAGTTTGTTGAAAACTCTAATAAATACATTTTTATCTGGAGTTCTCCGATTTGGAAACCGTTGACGATATTCTTCAACAGCAGCTCTACCGTTTCCATTATAAAAGCCATAAACAAACACCATATTTGCATAATCACTATTTGAATAAGTATGTGGCATTTTGCAACAACTTTTTTTATACAAACTGTCAATAGACATTAAATCACGTTGACACTACACTATTATGACAGTTAACTAATTATTAAACGAATCACAGATACCTGTTACAGCAATGTGATAAGTAGCAGTAAAATTACAACTTTGTGTTATTATCGCTATAACTCGAAAACAAATGAAAATCGAATAACAACATATGAGTTATTTTTACTTATTTTTACGTATATTATACAGTCTTAAAGTTTGGTGCGTTCCTCCCCACTCACCCTGTATATCTACTGCATGTAAATTTATTATTAATAATATATTATTTTATTTGCAGTAAATCCATCTTTAACGGTTCAATCGTTAGAGATTTGATCTCAAAAAAACGAGAAGAACAAGCTGACTTTTGCTGAGTCAATTTCGGCACCCCTAAAAAGTTTGCTGCTCCTATCTTTCCTCTAAACGCCCCTCGTAGGAGGGAAAACATCGATTTTCCAAGAATCTGTACGCCATGAAAAAATATATTTTAATCAATTAGCTTAGATAATTTTGAACAAAAATGTTTATTAGCACTTTTTCTGTAGAATGAACGGTTTTTTCAGAAGAAACACTTGAAAGCGACCAGCGATTTCAAATGTCAGTTACGCGCACGAATTATGTCGGCAAAAATCAAATGAATCATCATGAATCATCCTTTTTAAAGATGAAGAGTGCTTTCGTATACAATTTTTGCATTTTGCCACAAATAAAGTAAGTATCTATAAAGTTGTTACATAAATAAACGTACGATTTTTGCCATTTTCATACGATTCTCATTAGATGAATATAATTTCAGTTCCATTGACCTTTCTCTGTGAAGTTTATATTTTTAGGGCCGAATCTTCAAAACGTATAACATGAAATTTTTGGCAACAAATATAAGGCATTTGAAATATTCCTAACAAACGCTGAATTTAAACTTTCACATTACAAACGATCTCACGTCATGGAAAATGCTTCGACGAAGAAGGTATTGGGTGGAATTTGTAGCTGAAGTTATGTAGTTTCGAAAAACGTACTTGTGTAATCGGAAAGAAGCAGTATTAAACATTTTAGATCATTTGTCAAAACTGAAAATCGAAATTTCATGTTACAGGTTTTGAAAATTATTCTCTAGCAAGGGAAATTCCATAGTGACCAGTCAATGGAAGCGATAAATTTTATTGATCTCAACGGAATCGTAGAAATGGCAAGCATCGTGCAACGTTTATTTATTTAATAGTTTATAGAAACATACTTCATTTGCGGCAAAATGTAAAAATTCTATACGAAAGTTGCACCTGTGGGTGCTGCCAGGATTATTTTCAGGGGGTGCATCTGCTTTTCAGGATGCATCTACATCTACACATACTATAATTAATATAAAATATAGAACTATATACGTAAAGCTATGTACTTTCTTTCCGATCAGGGGGGTGCAATTGCACCGCGCTGCCGGCGCCCATGGTTATAGAAAAAACAATGATTATAGAAAAAACTTAATCAAGAAAAATAAATGGCTGACAGACATCAAAGAAAAATGGATGAGAGAAAGGTGCGACGAAACGGAGGATGAGATATCTAAACACGACTTATTTAATGGCACAAAAACTAAGAAAAATTAGTAACATATTTAAAAAAACGAGTACCCTCCGTACTCGTTGACAATAATAACAAAATTATTGTAAATGAGCACGAAATAAGAAAAGAATGGCAGCTGTATCAAGAGTTGTTTGAAGATGACAGGAAGAATATTGCCGAATTCTACCAAAACTGTACTGACGGCCCCGAAAATTATGAAATGCGAGATAGAACTCGCTATAAATAATGCTAAAATTAGAAAAGCTTCTGGTCCAGATGATACACCAACTGAGTTGCTGAAACTAATAGAGAATGATAACATAAAAGTAGTAGTAAGACTTTTTAATTCAATATATAACACCGGAGTAATTCCCGCAGATTGGCTCAAATCCATCTTTGTCACAATACCTAAAAAACACAATGCTAGAAAATGCTCAGAATATCGATTAATTAGCCTAATGAGCCACACTCTTAAAATTTTCCTCAGAGAGGCACTTTTTTCGCTTAACATCCTATTACAAAAATGCCATGACCAAAGAAAAGATGTATTTGCATGTTTCGTAGTCTTTGAAAAGGCATTCGATTGGGTACAGCATGTCAAATTAATGCAAATACTGAAAAATATCGGAATAGATGACAAGGATATTCGTGTCATTAAAAATTTGTACTGGAATCAAACTATCATAAAAATTGGAGATAACTACATCGATGAAATCTCTATACAAAGAGGAGTCAGACAAGGTTGCATTTGGTCGCCAACATTGTTCAACGTTTACTCGGACCAGTTATTTAAAAAGACACTTGAGGCACAACCATATGAAATAAAAATCAACGGGGACTACTTAATGTGATTAGATATGCAGACGATACAGTAATTCTATCAGATAATATTAAAGGTCGTCAAATTCTGCGTGATCGTATTCATGAGGTAGGAGAGGTAATGCGCATTCAAATAAACTCAAACAAAGTCATTTCTTTGCAATAACCATCTCCGTTTAGAACTAAAGCAAAGAATGGTTAAGTGCTATGTTTGGTCCGTACTTTTGTATAGTGTTGTAAAGTACTTTTGTATAGTACTTTTGTAAAGACTGTTAAACATCGAAAAATGTCTTATCTGGGACATAAAGTAAGGGGAAGTCGATATAAAATATTACAACTGATCCGTAACGGCAAAATAGGCAGGACAATTATTCCATATTGCAGAAGATCGAGAAACCTTCGCAATGGTGATCGCCAACGTCGGATAATTCTGATATGGCACGCGAAGAAGAAGAAGGACATTTGAAATCTCTGGTCGCTTTCAAGTGTTTCTTCTGAGAGAACGGTTCATTGTACAGAAAAAGTGCTTTGAATATTTTTGTTCAAAATTATCTCAGCTACATTTCTTGTTTAAAATATTTCAATTTTCACATTTTTAAATTTGCAAGTCTTCCCATTCAGATCTGACTCTTTATAATCCAATGTATTACTATGGAAGTTCAAATATCTCATTACAAGATCATATTTTTGAGTATTAAAATGGGTTAGCTCTTGTTATGTTAGATGTTACTGTGCATCCTTTAATTACAATAGTTAAAATTATTAGATCGCAATAGTTAGATCTTTAATACATATTAAAAAAATATTTTGTTTCGTTACTTAATAAAACAAAAAATTCTATTAATATAATATTTAAAAAGGAATAAGAGACCGATATATCGTTGACGTTCTTCAAGAGCATATTGTGCCATTTGCCCCTTATATTGGCGAAAATTTTGTTCTAATGCACGATAACGCACGACCGCACATTGCAAATATAGTGCAAAATTATCTAGAGGAAGTTGGAATGGACGTTATGGGATGGCCAGCGAATATTGCCGATCTTAATTCTTTAGGGAATAATTGGAACTTGCTTGATAAACGTCTGAAGCATTCTCCTAATTAACCAAACACTCTGCAGGAAATGGAACAACGTCTTGTCCAAATTTGGAAGGAACTGCATGAGAATGCTTTTAGACCGTTTATTTCGTTTTAAGAAGATAAAAAATTGTTTTGATTTGTAAATATGTCCGGCACGGCTCCATAAGATTAACCTCATAATATATTTATTTTATTTTTCAGGCATCCACTGTTTCCTCTTCTAGCTCTTCTGTTCGAAAGGTGCGAACTTGCAACCCAATCTTCCGACACCCAATCTAGTGACGCTTTCAATTTGGATATTCAAGCCTTCGTGCAACACCAAGAACGTGATAGAAAACCATTTCTGGCAAATGAACCCGAAATTGATGGACTGGTAAGTTTTCTTTATTGATTTAACAAAATTTTGATAGTTTTCTATGGTACAGAGATTTAGATAAGGTAAACTAGGCATGTTATCTTAAAAAGACAAGACAAACTACTGAAATTTTTAACGAAAAAAGTACTATTTTGAGACAAAGTATGTATGTATGTAAGTTTGTATGTGTATTAAGTATTTAAGTCTAGAAGAACACTTTGCCAAATGCAAGGAAGCTATCCATACAGCGGCTAAAGGCTTTTTAAAACCTAACCAGGCTAAAAATAAACGAAGATTGGTTTGACGAAGATTGTAGATCCATTAACCAACAGAAAAATGAAGCATACAAGAGACTTCAGCAGAGCAGAAGCGCAGAACGAGATCAAACCTGGAAAACTATGAAAATCTTAGACGAGAAGAAAAAAGGACGTTTAGAAAGGAAAAGAGTCATACGGACACGCTCTAAACGAGATTGTTAACCACCACAACAGAAAAGACTCGCAAAAATTCTACCAGGAGATAAACAGCTGCAGAAAAGAATTCAAACCCAGAATAACAGCATGTAAAGACAGAGACGGTTCCATAATTAGTGATAAAGAACATATACTAAACAGGTGGGCGAATCATTTTGAAGAACTGCTTAGCGACAGTCGTGAAGAAGACCAAAAAGAAGATACTTTGCCTGAAATGGATGAAAAAGCTCAAGAGCCGCCCCTCACCGAAGAAGAAATTAGAGAAGCCATTTTAAAACTGAAAAAGAACAAAGCCCTGGTTTGAAGAAGACAATCTTCCTGCCGAACTCTTTCAAAATGGTGGTGACACCTTTTTTAAACCCATGCATAAATTAGTAACCGAAATCTGGCTATGGAAGGAAACGCCCGCAGACTGGAAATTAGGTGTAATGCACCCTCTTCACAAAAAAGAGAAGATTGATCTATGCTGAACAAATAGTTCGGAACTATCAGTGCTGTTTCCGACCCAATAAATCAACAACGGATCAAATCTTCACAGTCAGGAAGATTCTTGAGAAAATGCTTGAGTTTGGAGTCGACACCCACAACATATTCGTGGATTTCAAAGCCGCATACGACACAGTCAACAGACAAAAACTTCTACAGGCTATGGTGGAATTTCAAATGCCGCTTCATCTTATTTAACTAACGGAACTTACACTCACAGTCGTAGAGAGTGTAGTCAGAATCCAAAACGACTTTTCAAGACCCTTCCATATGGACTGAGACAGAGAGATGGACTGTCGTGTCTCTTATTTAACCTTGCACTAGAAAAAGTAATTCTAGAGTGCCATATTAATACAAATGGCACCATCTTTAATAAATCTGGACAAGTGGTCGGATATGCAGATGACATAGATATTATTGCTAGGTCCACAGAATCTCTGATCGAAGCATTTCGATCATTAAGGGCGTCTGCACTGAGAATGGGATTGGGTCAGAAACGTGGTCACTTACACAGAACGACCAAGAACTGCTTAAACGTTTCGAGAGAAAAATTATAAGGAAAATATATGGAGGAGTCCAAGAACAGGGTTTGTGGCGTAGGCGCTACAACTTTGAGTTATACAGAAGTTTTGGGAAACCGGACGTTGTAAAATATATTAAATTAGCACGCCTTCGATGGATAGGACATGTTATTAGTCGAGATGAAGATGCAATTTTTCTACCGAAGAGGACCAGTGGGATGACGATACAGAGGAAGACTAAAACTTAGATATCAAGATAACATAGAGGATGATCTAAAATCCATCGGAGTTAAAGCATGGAGTAGAGTTGCCAGAGACAGGGGCGAATGGAAGATTGTTCTGAAGGCTTTGGCTCATGACGAGCTGTAATGCCACTGATGATGATGTATGTTCATTAAATTTTCAATAAAAGGACATTACAAAAAAAGGGACATTAATAGGATTTCACAGCCATATGTTCTTATATGTTGGTATAGATATTATTTTATATGGGATTAATCCACAATTGATTGTAATGAAAATATTTTATATTTGTTTTGACATTTCAATTTCCAATCATTTTCAAGAAAATTTGAAATAGAAATTATGAATGATCTTAAACTGTAAATGTTTATAATTGGTGGTGTATAGTTAAGGGATACATATGGATAGACTGCATATCAATCATCCACACATAACCACGATTGACCGGTTTGAGGTTGTGAGCTCATATTTATATCTGAGATTATTTATCACAAACACAGGGTTACAACAGGAAGAAATAAAACATAGTTGTGATCTAGCAAAGTCGCCGTAGTAAAGATGGCCAAAATAAGAAAGGACTCTCAAATTCCACTAACTCTAAAAATGAGGTTGATCAACTGCTTAATATTCCCTGTGAATCTTGGACCCTACTACAAGCGGAAAGAAGAAAGATAGACGCCACTGAAATGTTCTGTTGGAGAAGAATGTTACGGATTCCGTGGCCCGACCACAGGACAAATATTTCAATTTTAACTGAGCAAACGGCTATCCAGCAAAGTCCATCTCCAACAATGAAAATACTTTGGATATGTTATGAAAGCAGATTCAGAAAACATGGAAAGACTAATTATTAAAAGTAGAGGAGCGAAGATCACGATGAAAATTCGCAACAAGATGGATCAATTAAATTACAGGAATTTCCAAAAGACCTATGCATGAGTTAAAAGAAATGACCAGAGACAGAGATCTTTGGAGAGGGACAATACAGGACATCACGATGACCACTACACTCGCCCCGAGGGGTCAGGTTTGAAGAGAGAGAGTTAAGAGGTGAGTTCATTACAACCAAATAATTCTCTAATATTGGATGCAGTGTTAAGAGATTAAAATAGTAATGATATTAGACTGATAATAAATGCATTATGACCTCTGTAGAAAACTGAATAATCAAAATTATATTAATTAGATATCTGAAAATCTGGTTGTATTGGAGAATCCTACGAATAAGTTGGGTAGATAGAGTTCATAACGAAGTTATTTTGTAGCAGAAGCCCCGGAAGAAAAGTGTCAGGTCGAAGAAGAACGTAATGGCTTAGAAAACTAAGGGAATAGTTTATCCTCTACATCCTTTTTCCGAGCTGTCGTCAACAAAATTAGTATAGCCAACGCACGATTATATCCAACGCAGAAATAGGAAGAATGATAATTTATTCCTGACACTAATGATTTATCATTTAAATATTTATATCTATAATTATTGTGACAATAATTTTAAACGCAGCAAAGACTCAAGAAGAATTGTAACGCCATTGATGATGAATTATTGTGACAAAATGAGACTTCCTTTAACCTATTCAGCATTCAGAATAACGTCGACATTCCTGGTGTTACATAAATAACTCTAATGACACCCATTATCTCATATATAACGTAATTAAATATATATTTAACGATGTATCAATTATGCAAAAGTGTATAATGTAAGTACGATAATTTCTATACGTTATTATTATTATCTCCTGCTGTGTCGTTTTTATATCCAGGACCGGCCTAAGTGATTTTTAGAGGGTCAATATGATCATCAACTTTGCTGCAGAAAGGTTCACCATAAACCAAACATATTGTTCAAAAATATATTATATTGTATAAGGTTGGTCACGTTGCTATTCGCAATGGGATATTTAATATAAATATAATAAAAAATATATATAAATACATATATATATATATATATATATATATATATATATATATATATATATATATATATATATATATATACCCGGTATTTAGGCGGCACACGCCCTTCCGGTAGGGATCTATGGTGGAGTATCACCGAGCCGCAAGCCCTTATCTCTTGCCGTACTGCTTCACCATAGGCCGATCAGATCCCAGCATATCCTAGTCTAAGCCGCAGATTCATTTAGAATTTTAAACTGCTGCGTTAGGCTTTTTGTTTTTTGTACACCGAGCTGGGGATTGAACTGACATCTCTCGCATTGAAGCGAAGGAGAAGCCAGCCGCCCAGTCCGATTGGCTATCCGATCGACTATAATAAAAATAAACTCTTTATATACCTAACTTAACTCTTTATATACATGTTGTGGCTTTCAAAAAAGTTACGGAATCACTCAAATCGCTTTTGAACCCTTACTGAAAATTGAATATCGTATTAGATATCGCTTAGACAATTTGGTAAATAAACTTAGAGGAAAAAGTTCTTTTAAAATTTTGTAATAATTATTTATTGGAACTCATTGTTACAGCAGCAATTAGATATGCGCCTAGTAAAAAAATCCGATGTTTTATATTTTCTTTGGATGGCCTCAAAGCATTTACTGGTATTCTTATATTCTCGTAGATATCATCATGTAACCTCTGGGCGGCATTTAAGCCTAGTTCGCACTATGATAGTATTTTAGTCGAGTAGAGAGTAATTTAGTAGCTAAACGTGTCTGAACAACAACAATTTAGTCGAGTACATTAGTAAGTAATTCAGTCGAGTCAATCGATTTGATTCTGTTTTTTTCGGACGAGTAGCACCTCCCACCGTCACTGATTCACCGGCTAAACAAGTCCGAACGATTCGAATTCTCTCTCTTCAATCCTGACCCCCCAGGGGGAGTGTAGTGGTCGACGTGATGTCGTGTATTGTCCGTCTCCAGAGATCTCTGTCTCTGGTCCTTTCTTTTAACTCATGCATAGGTCTTTGGCATATTCCTGTAATTTGATCTATCCATCTTGTTAGGGATCTTCCTCGTGATCTTCGGCCTTCTACCTTTCCTTGTATTATGAGTCTTTCCATGTTTTCTGTGTTTGCTCTCATAACATGCCCAAAATATTTTAATTGTTGGAGATGGACTTTACTAGAGAGTCGTTGGCTAACTTTTAGCTCTCTTAAAATTGAATTATTTGTTCTGCGGTCGGTCCAAGGAATTCGTAACATTCGTCTTCAATAAAACATTTCAGTGGCGTCTATCTTTCTTCTCTCCGATTGTCTTAGAGTCCAAGATTCACATCCGTAGGTCAGTATTGGGAATATTAAGCAGTTGATCAACCTCATCTTTATCGCTCT